CATGATACAACGGGCAAAACTCCTGCTGAGTTATTTTTAGGCAGAAAGATTATAACACCGTTAGATAAATTATTTTATGTGCAACAAAGAGCCCCAGAATTTAAAATGGGTGATATAGAAAAATTAATTAAAGAAGCAAAAAAAGAACACTGAAGTAGCACAGAAGAAAACAAAAGCTTTATTATGATTTGAAACGACGGGGAGTAACTTATAAAGTAGGGATGAAGTATTAAAAATTAAGCATTCACTTTCTTCAGCACCAGAAGATAAAACTGCCAAATTTTTTCCACGATTTGAAGGACCATATGTCATAGAAAAAATAACTCAGGCTGTAGTTGTAGTGTTAAAAGCCAGGAATGGTGAATGGTGAAACATGCTTCCGCAAACATTGACCAGATAAAACCATACTATGACCGTAATAAAAATGCAAATATTTAAAGATCTTTTGCAGGATCCGGCACGGCAGGCACCGCAGGCACAAGCTCCAGAGGTGGAACAACGACAAGCACAAGGGCAAGCCATTAGGAGGCAGGAGCAATTGAAAAGAAAGTTTCCCCGTTGGAAAATTGAAGGTAACAAGAAAAAAAGAAGCCGTTCCACCGTCCAGAAAAGAGAGCGCACGACCACCCCCAGAATGAAGAAGGGAGAAGTAACGACGAATGCAAAGAGAGCCAGGAGAAATGACGGCAACTATAACCCGGCTCCCAAACGGAAGATCTACTCATCGGACAGGACTCTCCGCAGCAAATGTCGCCGAACTGCGGAAGGGCCACCAGCGGCGGAGGCAAAGATACAAGGAAAAATTTGAACGGCCAGCAACGAGATCCAAGCAGGAACGAGAGAGAAGTTTCCCGGTTCCGCCAAGACCAGCTGCCATCAAACGGCCAAGACCACAGGCAGAGGCGAAAAAGAAGGTCTTCAAGGGTGACCGAACTGGAAGGGAAAAGAAAGCTCATAGAGGAAGGAACTGAAGGGCGAGCCCGCACAAGAAGGAAGGATAAACCAAACGCTAATCTTCGCTACCTTCCAGGACTGGGCAGAAAAAAGAATGTCCGAATATCACAAAGATAAGTAAAATTTTATGTTACTTTGCAAACTTAAGTTAATCTTTCATTCTTACTGCAAGTGGCAGAATTCAAGACGTTTTACCTCATGTGAGGTCTACCTTTATCGCCAAAAAGGCGAGAAATGAGTTGTTACCTATTTTGGTATTATGTTTTTCAATTACTCGCGAGTAAAACTAAAGTTGATGTATAATAGCGAATGTGTAAATACTTGAATATTGTAAAAGTTATTGTATAAAATTTTATTTAAAAGATTCTGGCAAGAAAGAAGTTTTAGTCTGAAAGACTTTTGAAATGTAGTAGTTATTTCAATGTAGAAGAATTGGCACTTGCTTGGAAAAGAATAGAAGTTAACAATGTACTACTAATGTATGTTTTCAAATGCGTAAAATTAACGGCATGTTAATATGTTCTTATATACAATGTGAACTGTTATTTTAAATGTTAAGAAATACTGTGATATGGTAAAAGTGAAAGTAATGTTAAAAATTTTAACTTATTCGTGTGACTGTAAAAAGAGAAAATCATTGTGAATATGTGTTAAAGGTTGAATGAATGTAGTTAGGCTCTCTGACGCTACACTTCAGAGTTAGCCACTTTCAGAATAGTACCTCAGGGTTTAGAGATTGAATATAAGGGTGTGTTAAGAGGTCTTGTTATGTTGAATTTTAACACGTTAGTGTTTTGATTGTAGGAGGGTAGTGTTGAACACTTGTACATAAACACATTCGTGTTTGGTGTTTTCTTTTACAACACATGTCAGAGAGCACGGGGAGAGATAATTAAAATAGTCATGAATGAAATAAGAATGTTAAGAGAAACATAAATATTCATGTTACTTGCCATTTCATTGTGTAACATTTCATTAAAAACTAGTTTTCCTTCCAGATCTCTGGAAGGAACCAGATTTGAACTAAAACTCCTGTTTAGATGCAGTACAGATGAAAAAGTAATTGTCCATGGAGCTGATAATGTAAAAACAATTTTTTTTTAATTTCTAGTTTCTAGTGAAGAATGTTTGTAAAAGATTGGCCTCGCGTTAGATTCTAGAGCTAAAAGTTTTCAACAAGGTCGTTTTAGACCTCAGTTTCAAACTAATTAACTCTGGCGGGAAGTATGTAAGGATCTTAAGTTTTACTAACGTTTATTTTATTTTAAATCTTTACTATCACTTCTTATTTTCTACTTCCGGCCAGAATTAAAAGCTTTAACTTATTTATGCAAATTTGTCTGGCGAACGCCAAGTACTTAAGTTGTGGCTTTTTTGCCAAGCAAGAGAGAGGAAGGAGTTAGTAGAGCAGGCCGCTTGCCTTAGCAAGTTTTACTCGGTTGCTGGTTGCCTTCCAGGCCAGAGGTTTTAATCCTCTTGATAATTTTAAACGTATCGTAGTGTTAACAGTTCTCTGTGACTACATACGGCCTTTCTGTTAATATACGGCCAATCTTCAAGTAGACCCTTGTTTATTAATCCAAAGTTAGTTTAGTTAGAGTTTAGTTAATATTTTTATATTCTTACGTTCAGACCACAAGTGGTTGGTCTCTGTATTCCGAAGTCCGGAAATCATTGTAAAGAGAGAAAAATAAAGGGTTTCGTATACCCTTCCTGTGTGTTTTGTCTACTTCCCACATTTATTGAACATAGCTTTAGTAAGCTCCCTGTTCCGAGTCAGGTCATGTAATGTTCCCGAAGCAAGTAAGGAGAAACACTGAACCTGATAACCTTAAAGCGTTTTTTCAGCAGGAGAGGCAAGTGTGCACGCATATTTTCAGATAACGCAACCAATTTTGTTGGTAGTAACGCAGAATTAAAGAAATTGAATAGGCTAGTCAGCAAACCAGATGATGAATTAGGTAATTATTTATCGAGTGAGAGTATTGATTGGTCGTTCATTCCCCCTAGAGCTCCTAATCACGGAAGGTCTTTGGGAGGCAGGTGTCAAATCTGTTAAGTTTCATTTGAAACGTGTAGTAGGCAATTTGAAACTAACCTATGAGGAGTTTCTTACAGTAATTGCTCAAATTGAAGGCATTTTGAATTCTAGGCCCTTGCATCCTTTATCATCTGAACCAGAAGATTTTGATATCTTAACACCAGGCCATTTCCTGATAGGCAGACCTATCACGGCTATTGCAGAACCTAATATTTTAAACATTAACGATAATAGATTAAAGAGCTGGCAAAAATTGACTAAAATAGTACAAACAATTTGGAAGTATTGAGAGAAATAACTATTTGAGTGCAATGCAAGGAAGAACTAAATGGTTCTTTGAAAAAGACAATGTCAAGGTTGGAACTATGGTAATTTTAAAGACTGAATAATGTTCCTGTATGTAACTGGCCTCTTGGCAGAATCGTAGAAATATTCTTTAGGTAAAGACAATAAGGTTAGAGTAGTTGCAGTGAAAACGAAAAGAGGTATTTTTTAAAAGATCAATTAATAAAGTCTTGTGTTTTTCCTATGCCAAATTAAACAAAAAGTATGTTTGTAATTAATTATTGTATTTTCCTTATTATAGTAGTTTGATTTTGTTGATTTTATTATTTGATGTTTACAATTATTTACCTGTATTTCGTATTGTCACTCTGTGTAATTTTTTATTGTAAGATTTAAATTTTGAATGATTACATCATGTCAAGGCGGGCGGTATGTTGCGCCTGCGCGCGCATTTCATTACTAGCGTCGGCGCATGCGTCTTGAGCTCTTGGAGTTTGTGACATGAGATTGTGAGCTAAGAGCGGGTGAGAGAATTCGTGGCTTCGAGTGGCCATGAACGATGTAAATTAATGAGAATTAAAGTGAGATATAATACAGTCCATTGTTCCTGAGTTTATTGAATTATAGTGTAGTGCCTGTGCAAAACATATGTATTTAATATAAGTTTAGAAAAGAATTCCGCCATTAAGGGATAAAACATTCGAAAAACGAAATACATTGTATTGTTAAAATTAGAGAATGGTATTACAGCATGATGCGTACGGGTTCCTAATAAGCTCAATGTGCAGCTCCAATGAAAAGTGAATACAATTTATTCTTATCACAACAAATAAAAAAAAAAATGCTGAAATTTCCTCAGAGATATTAGTGCAGTATCGCAATATCTCACAGCAGTTAGATTTTAAACTATTAAAACGTTGAATAGAACTTAATTGAAAACACAGAGAAAGGTAGAGAAAGCTAATCCGATCTCGCCGCGAATTCGATACAGTAAACAACAACAGTTTTCTAAATAGCTTTGTAAGCAACTGAATTGAGATGTTTTCCTTCCGCTTTTATAAGCTTTATAATCAGCACGAGAACATTCTGGTATTTTCTCGATTTTTCTTGATAGCAAAAGAGTACAATTACGAGATATCTATTTATTAAAATGTTAAATGAGCGAGCTCCTGTACTTCAGTATTTCCAGCGTAACTTTCTCTTCAAATAAGTCTCGTGCTGCATTGCACGGGAATATAAAACAATTTTAATTACAAATTCTACTAAAAATACCTAAATAAATACAAAAACCTTAACAATATATATTCTTTTTTATCTATATCATGAAATTTTGCGGTTCATTGCTGCTAGACTTGATTTTATTTAAACTATTTTTATCCATAAAATTGTGGCATTTAAAATTTGTTATCAAACATCTTATTCTCGTTTTCAAAGTATGCTCTCTATCTGAAATAGATTACAGCTGTCTAAATCCATATTTTTTAAGAGTTTTTTTTATTAATCTTTCGATTTTGAAACCATTTTCAAGGGCTAAACCTGTTTCTTAAATCAGAAGGGAATGTTGACCCAAAGCTCATCTAGTTATACTTGTCAGGAATAAAAATAAAAAATCATATAGATCAGGCAGCTTAACGGACCGGAACTACAAAATGCTCGTCACGTGACCCGTCGTGAACCTTCAATTACAGTGAGAGGTCAGAAATCTAAATTATTGTTCGCGCAAGTGAACCTGCGGATATCTATTCTTTACGGGTTTTTTTGTTTGCGGCGCTAATAGTCAGGCATATATATACGTATATAGAGAGAAAAAGAGAAATACAGCGAGCTGCAGAGTTCTTTAAAGTTTCAATATTTCGTTCTGCAAACACTGCTTATCAAATCCTTTTATCATGATAAAAGTTCATATTTTTTCGGCTATAGTTTTGATTTTTTGTTTTGTTCTTGTGGGTGCTCAGGTGAGGAAACTTTTTTAATATGAAAATTATTTTATTTGTGAATAATATTTAAAAAAAAACCTTGAAATGTACTTTACTTATTATGCTACAGTTTAGTTCTACTCATATTTCGATTCAAATATTTTAAATTCTGGAAACTTTATTAATTCAGATTCTTTTTTCAAAATGAATTGGAAGATTTGAACTTCATAATCTCAAGTAGTATATTATCCAGTATATTATCAAGAACGCTCAAGTCCAGTATATTATCAAGAACGCTGACTAAAGATACTTTCTAAATCGTCTTGCATTTTCCGCCTAGTTTTTAGCAGCAAGATAATGTTATACTTCCCATCTAATAAGACAATTGTAATTGGAGCAAATATTTAAAGAAATTTTGTTGAGAAAAGATAAAGAAAATTTTTTTATTGCTATCCCATAAAGCTAAATTTTATAAGTACTTAAAATTAAAAGCAAAAATAATTAGTTAATTAATAAAGCATTCCAATGTTATTGCTACACACATTTCAATTCCTTAAATTACTTTTTTTTTTTTTTCTGAATTATTGTCGGTGGCGGCATCATTGCTTTTTGCTCCAAACGAGTGCAACACGTTTCAGTTTAATCAGTCCATTTAAATCAGAAGAGTTCCTTTAGTAGTGAATTGTAATTTATTTTTAAAAGGCATTAAGACACTGAAAGAATGCTAGACTCATTACTTTTACCTAAAAAATAATAAATAAAATAATTAAAAATGAAACTGAAATATATAATATATAAAATGAATCATAATAAAATCTCAGATTCCTTTGTATAGGAAGAAAATAATTTCCTTCTTATCATGAGTTCTGTAATCGAGCCATACCATAATTTTTAAACAGCAATATTCTAGGCCAGGGGTTCCCAAACCTATGCCCGCGGACATCATGGCGCCCGCCGATCGTTTAGGGTGTGCCAGCCGCTGTGCGATCACAATAAAAATGTTTTAGTTTTCAATAAAATTCGATGTGAAAGTTTTCTTATTTTTAATGAAATAGAAATTGCGTCCAACACAGATATCAGCACAAGGCGAAATGCGACCGATCTCTCTTTTTATATACATTTATTATTAACTCTATCCAACTATAAATTCACCTTGAAAAAGCAGATGGTGTCCGCCATCCAACAGATATTCTAGAATGTGTTCTTAGAGAAAAAAAGGTTGGAGACCCCGGTTCTAGACTATAATTACATATTGTTCTTATGTGTATCACTTGCATTAATTTTCAAGAATTAACTTGATCAATTAATCAGAGTTATTTCAGTCCGAACTTAACAATGCTACTACTATATTCAATGAATTTTTTAAAAAGCATTAAATAAAAATACGTAATCAGTGTTTAGTTATGGTCTTTCTAGTCAGTTAGCTTTGATAATTATCTGTATCTTATCTATTTATTTTCTTTTAGAAACCCCCAAGATTATATGCAAAATCGAAATGCGAAAAGAGACTAAAAAACGAGGTAAGAATCTTTCCTAAAATCCTTATTAGAAAAATATGTCTGAAAGTTTATAAAAAAACTGTTAATAGCAAATTTTGATTTAAAAAAAAAAAGAACTTTTTTTAATTGCTATTTAAAATTATAAAAATAAGGACCAGCGAATCAACAGCCATAGCTTCTTCAAGAGCTCTCTTTGTATACTCTCTTTGACAGACTCTTCTTTGGAAAATAAAGATGAAATATGCCTCAACCTTTGTTCCAGCACTTCTAAAAGTTTTAACCTTACTTGTAACCAGTATCTAGCATATTTCAAATGGATAAGAACGATGGAATAGCCTTTTTTCGAATGGATAAGGTCGCTGAAGATCGGTAATTCGGCCAAATACCGGTGGATGAGATTGCTGAATGTGCGTTTCGAAGTTTTTCCCATGTAACGTGAAAATGAGCAAGTTTCCTTTAGAAACTCCTCCACGAAAATCCTCCTTTTCCCTAGGTCCCTATGATGTCTTCTCATACTTGATTAAATGAACAAAGATTTTAAGTGGATGACGGGGAGTGATCGATTGCTTCCTATGTAGCTCTGCATGTTCTCAACAGGATTAAAAGCCAATTGAACAAATTAACAGTATTTTCGTTCAATTATTTGATTCCCAAAACGCTATACGATTAGAGGTTTTCGTATTATCATTGATTTAAAAATAATATCACTTTTTGCACTAGCGGATAGTAGATAAATTTATCAAGGATTTTGATTTGATATCTCTGAATGCGTATATCATGCGTTTATCATAAGTATATCAAGTTGACCAAAAGTAATCCCGATAAGAATAATAAAGTTATGAAATTTATTTAAAACAAACTATAAAGTTAAGTTACACTAACATGTATAAATTGCATTAAGTCATATGTTTTAATTGAATTAAAATTTGCAAGATTTTTTAAATATTTTTGTTTTAAATTAATTGAGGAGGAAAAGAGATATATTAATTTTTGTTAATATACTATAAAGTAAACTGCCCGTTATGTAACGCTTATGTAATGATTAGTTAGTTAACTGATAATTATAAATAAAATAAGAATAATTTGCCCGGGAGGATGCTTTCGCGGAGGAATTTTTAAGGGAATAGATTCTTGTTCATATTGTATTTGAAGATACCACAAAAACAACATGCAGTTCAGTCAGTGAGTATATAAACCGGAATTAACTGCCATTGCTGCTCCATTTTAGCTACTTAACTGCCTAATTCGCAAATATTTGATGTTTATTTCTTGGCATAAGTAGCTGTTCTTTCAAAACTCTCCTTACTCTTCATACAAAATAATTTGAAGAGAACTCTGCAAACTCGAAACCTTCCATGATGTCACTGCCATATAGCATATTTCATATTCTTTATTCCTGTTTAATTGTCTCTTGTTTGAACTTTTAAACAATGAATATAGCAAATGAAATGATAACAGCTTTAATAATTTTGAGCTAATTAAGTCAATTTATAAGGTATTTCTCCCGCCTTCCTAGCATGCCTTCGTGGTGTGGTGGTCTGCACACTGAGCGCTGTAATATTTTATTATTTAAAAAATACCTATATTTATTATTGGAGTGGCAACGCCATATTTGTATCATGTAACCGTTGCTCAGCAACATAAGAAATTGTTAAAAATTGTAATTCTGAAAAGTTTAAGAAAGGGGGGAGTATGTAAAGTACTTCTCCCGCCTTTCTACCATGCCTTCGTGGTGTGGTGGTCTGCACGCTGGGCGCATATTCCAGAGGTCCGAAGTTCGATCCCCGGCGAAGGTGTTGCTGATTTTTTATCTATTCTGCTTCCAAAATTTACATACTCTCTCTACAAATTACAGTAGGTGTGCAGGGTTTATGATTTGAAAACCATTGTCTCGTACATGTTTCTTGTAAATTATGTTTTAGATTTATTGTTTAATATATCATTTAATTAAAAATTAATAGCTGTTTTTGTAATAAATAGACTATAGATTCTTCATTTTATACAAATTTTATTCATATGTATTTTTTTACATTTAGACATTGTTGGAGAAATGTAAAATATGTGTAGAAGAATATACGCTTCCAGAGTTCCCTTCTAAAGAACAAGTAAGTTTTTTTCAGTAGAATAGTTTTTTTTTTTCAGTAGAAATATTCAAGACTAGAGAAGTAAGCATTTTACTTTTCTGATGCATATTTGCTGATGTTCGTTATCTGCAAAAACTTTTTATGCAAACATATTTAAAGTACTTTCGAGAAAAGTTAAAAATTATCTGGTAAATACACTTTTTACAAAATCCGATGAAAGACTGATAATCCAGTGTAAAGCATCCAGTGTTTCAACACATCCAAGAATATGTGACTTCTTTCCCGCATGTTTCTACATAAGATTGCGATACTAGCATTTCATTCAGAAATGTTTGTAAAGGTTTGTAATTACTTCGCGTTCTTCTGTCATTTTTATAGAGTCTTTCGTTCAGAATTCTGCATATAAAAATTTGCTGTTTTTATTTATTTAGAATGTTTTTAAAATTTGATAAAAATATTGAAAAGGGAATAAAACATAACTATTTGAATTTTACGATTCACAAGACATTGGGCGACATTAATCTAACCTGTGGATCAATAGTTTATTCAAAAACTTTAAATGTAAATATAGGAATTCCTTTGCGAAAAATTGATTAAATTGCAAAGTCAAGGGTTTTCGAGCTCAGTTCTAAAGCAGTAAAGTTCAGTTTTCATGGCTGCTTTTGCTTATTAACAAGTAAACAACACTATGTTATAAAAGCTTGATGAAAATTATGACCAAATGCCATGACTATAAAATTCTATCGAAGAAGGTGAAAATATCTACAATCCAATAACTAATCACTTCTTAAAAACAGCTAAAAGTCTTCCCCTGAAAATTCTATAAAACAATTATTCGAAAAAAGGCGTTATACAGTGTTAGTCTAATTTGGGGACATAATGCAATTTTATTCCAATAATTCCGCTTATTTGATAATTTGGCATTACTAAAATCCTAAATATACTGGGTTATCGGACTTATACTGCAATACTAAAAAAGTGCCCATATCGTGACCTTTTTTAATATCATACATATATTACATAGGTAAAGAAAAACCTTTCTAAGTAAAGTTAATATGACATTTAATGCCAAAATAACACACTATCCTACTGTGTGATGACATCTTTTCTGAGCACAAAAGCTTTAGAGTTTTATCCTATGTTTCTGAAGACACTGGATCCTGTTTTACGAGCAGATTTCAGATTACAGACTTTTTAATAAAATGCAGAGGATTATGCATGAGAATAAACGATTTTTTTGCTGTATAAGCCTTTGTTGACGCGACGTGACAGCAAAACTGAGTGGAGAAATAAATGTTATTTTTTGTTTAATTTAAACAAAAATACAAAGCTATTAAAGCACTATACAGGATATTAAAGGACTATAGGGTGTAGGATAGCGTAAATTGTTGACAAAGATAGTATCGGAGTATCAGCAGATTAATTAGCAAGACAAATTTTTATTTTCTTAATTAACTAATATATTCTAAATGATGAACACTTACGGGAGCACTCATAGACTGAACTCTTTTAGTTATGATAAAGGCCTGATGGCCATGGCTTCGGAAAGAGTTTTCTAAAAGGAACTGGTTCGTATTTGATTTGCACATAAGAAAAACATGAAATTCCATATAGCCATCTCGAGTGGAAATGGAAACCAAAGCGAGCTAATAATTAAGACACAATAACACGCCAAATAAATACCAATTCAGAAGTCAAACAACAAAAATCAGCGTTAATTTACAAAATTTTCACAGGACTAGTTTCGATGGTTTTACCGAACCATCATCTTCAGCTGCAAAACCGCAAATGAACAAGATAGGAAATAATGTTTAGATAAGATAAGAAAGCCTGGACAAGAATAAGCAAGTGGCGCCATCTGTTGGCGAAACCAGAACTAAAACATAATTTCTCTAAAAGCCGAAGGCAAATTTGGATTGGAATTAGGATCGTTAACTAGAACAGAAAGATTTTATGAATGTGAAATGCCTCTAGAAAATCCAGTTCTCCAATGAAAGATGTTTTTTGAATAATTTTGGCAGCAGAAAAAATTGAAAGTGTGATTTTCGGACCAACAATGTTGAGCAACAGAAGCCTTCTGTGTTTCCTTTTTCTAACATATGCCTCATGTTCTTTGACGCGAAATTTTAAGGCTCTCTTAGTTTGGCCAATGTAAATTAAACCGCACTGGCAAGGAATCCTATAAATACCCCAGGAATTCATATCCGGAATGGGATCCTTGAGTATCGAAGTTGGAATTTTATTGATGGGAGAGTAAACAACCCGAAAGTTAAATTTCTGCAAATTATGTGCAACTTTATAGCTAATTGATGGAAAGAAGGGAATGACAACAGAATTTTTATAATCTTATAAAATAAGAGTGTGGCTTTTAGTGTGTTGAGATGAGAATTTTTTAACTGCTTGATTAATAATGTTGGGTGAAAAGCCCCTGTCAATAGCTATTGCTTTTAAATAATTTAGTTCTTCATCAAGGGCTAGTTTGGAGGAGCAAACTTGAAGAGCACGGAAAACATAAAAATAAAATGAAGCTAACTTTTGTTTAGTCGGATGACATGATTTAAAGTGTGGTGGAAGGCAAACCGATGAAGGTTTACGGTAAACTGTAGTACTGAAGTTGGATGTGTTACGTGTGACCAGAATGTCGAGAAACGGAAGAGAAGAATTGCAAGTCTCAAGTTCAAAAGTGAACTGAATAGCAGGATCAATAGAATTCATTGTTGAAAGAACTCTATTTAAATCATCTTTATTACCTTCAAACAGGGTAAAAGTATCGTCTACGTAGCGGAACCATGCCGGGAAGTTTAAAGTTTCAAACAATTTTGATTCATAATAATGCATGTAGATATCAGCCAGGATGGGACTGAGGGGGCTTCCCATGGCTAATCCCTCAGTTTGCTTGTAATATTTATTTTGGAAACAAAATGTGTTTGTTTCAAACAGAGTTGAGTGAGAGAAATTAGCTCATCAATTTCTATGCAAGAGAAATGAAATTCGCGAAGTCTAGTTTCTAGACATCTTAAAAGCGAGCTAGCATTTGAACACTTTAGATATTCAGCCACTGATTTGACCAATTGTGTTCGATGTCTAAAGTTGCGGAGTTTTTATCTTTTGCACTCTATCATATTTTTGGTGATTGAAGAGGCTAACTGCACGATGTTTTCTTCATGAATAATGCAATTAAAAACCATTTTCTCTTAGAAATTTCTTCACGCTGAGGCTTTGGTTTGGTGCATTTAATTATGGCAAAGCACTCGAGGGCTCTGTGCCTAAGGGGAATGCCTTCTTGGAATTGGCTCTATACGCTTTACAAGAGGAAAAAAGCCCATGCAGTCAGACCGTTCGCCAAGATTCGAACTCCGAACCAAATTAACAGTGTTTAGCAATTTTACCGTTCAGCCGTTGGCTGAATTGCTAAACACTGTTACAATTGCTAAACACTGTATGTGTACTATTAGGCCCTTGAATACAAGGGCAGTAAGGCTTACTGCCCTTGTATTCTTCGTCATAAAAACAGTGCTTCAGAAGCAAACTTTGAACATATGTTGAAAACAATTCTTGAAACATTATATTTTTTGACTGACTTCTTCACTCTTAAATCTAAAAGCATTCAAGTATCGCGAGTCCTGTCTCCAGTCCAAAAGGAAATTTTTATGTGCGGGTTTTTTGAAATGATAAAAAACTAGAATATAAAAGTATTAGTCATTTGTATCACTATACCTTAAGCATTTTTTAATAGTTTAGAAACGAGGATAAAATGTATAGCTGCATACTCATACAAACTCTAGGCAAAGCCAATGCCTTTTGAATAATTTTTCTGCCTTTTTTACTGTTTTACCGGTAAAAAAAAAAGACACGTATCATTTTTTCTCCTGTACGGAAAAAGTTGCAGATCTCAGCAGATAACAGACTAGAGGTTCAAATTTCAATATTAGCATTTTTAGGAGCATGTGAAAGCTGTGTTTATAGTTTAAATCATTATCTTACAGTTAATCATTTCTACAAATCAGGTCTCCATGTAATGATGATTGAATTTATTTGACTCCAAATAAAGAGACTGTGGTAAGAGAATAATTTATTTATTCTTGAGGTTGAATAGATCTGTCCTACAGTAGGCATCGCACACTTGACATTGAAAATAAAGGCGATAACATAATTAAAAATGTAGCAGCAATACTTCATTCGCTCAATAGCCAGACATCACCTTCAGTAGCCCAATTCCCAAAGATCAAATACCAGGACATTAAATATTTTTACAGTCTTTAAGTTGCTCCCATTTTGCCAAGCTGGCAATTACATTTACTTAAATATTCTGTTGCAATCCATATCTACTCCTTTCACATCACTCTCAAATAGAATCAGCCCACCAGCGGCCGAGCGGTAAAGTCGCTGAACACTGGTAGTTCGGTCCGAGGTTCAAATCCCGCGAACGGGCTGGCTGCATGGGTGTTTTCGTGGTTTTCCCCATGTGTAACGTGTATACGAGCCAGTTTCCCTTAGAAAGTCCTCCACGAAGGCATCCCTGCCCTTAGGCAGATAGCCCTCGAGGCTTTGCCGTAATTAAATAACCTAACCTAACCGCAAAAAGAATCAGTTAAAATGAGTATTCCAATACGTGGTAACCCTGAAAGTTGCACTAATGTAACGTTGCAAATTTCTTGGCTACTTAATTACTATTTCTGATGATACAACAAATCTCAGTAGATAACAGACTAGATGTTCAAATTTTAATATTAGCATTTTTAGGAGCACGTGAAATCTGTGTTTATAGTTTAAACCATTATTGCATTCATATTTGTGCTTAATAATTCCAAACTTTTTATAATTTAAACCTTCATCTTTTCTTTAAAAAAAAAAAAACTGTGGAAAATAAGAAATACGCATTACTTTTTTTTCCTCCTTCAAACATATGTTGATTTTTTTAAGTTCACGAAGGGTTTGTAAATCTTTAAAAATCTAGAGAGTGTTCAGTAAAATTTGTAGGATGGTAATCGAAGAATCTGAATTCTTTATATTGTGGAATCTCAAT